CTAAAATTTTTGCTAATAACATTACAAATGATTTGGGCTTTTCCCCAGAATTCAACAGAGTATTAAATTACAGTCTGGAATGCTACCAAAGCTTAATAAGGACACCAGGTATACTGCTTCATAATTTCTGGATATTGAAGTGTTTCCTTTTACTTTCAAGAATAAAAGGTAAAGATACACTAAAAGCCCAATTGTTGTCTTACTATTGAAAATGTAATTACTTATTCAATATTAAATGAAAGTTCACAAATAAGTTTTTTTCAAATCAAATGGAATAATTTACTTTACCATCTGATGTACCCTTGTATGCATAAATAAAAATTTCCCCACAAATCCCAAATATAACTTTTATACCAGTAAGATGTTAGTATAAAAGCTAATTTTTCTACTCAGTAAAAATTGTTATTTTTACTCCTTGTAAAAGAGACCCATAGTTATAAGGCTATCTTCCAGCTTATATCAACAAAGAATTATAGGTATTTTGCACTAGAGACTTTACTTTTGAAATATAGATGACAGACTTAAAGTCAGCAAGGCTTTGGTTATGCTTGAGCTCTGGTTGTAACAGACACATACTTAAAAAAATAAAATAAAAATAAGGAATTAAAAAATAAAAATCCCTGCCATTTAAAAAAAAAAAAATAAGTTAAACTGTGATCAACTTTCAGGTAACAATGTGTTTCACATGAAGAAAAGAAACAGTTTTTATATCTAAAACAAGCACGCCGAACTCACAGCCCACGGGCCACGTGTGGCCCAGCCAATATAACGGCACGTAAGAAACGCTTCAGTAAAGATTTTGTGGCTTGATTTTTACAATGTCCTGTCACACATAATTATTGGTAACGAACTGCAATGTTCACTAATGACTGATTACTATAATTGTGTTGCATTCATTTCCCTTACACGCAAGGCACGCCATTTCTCTCCACTAACACTAGCAGCAAATATTTTAGCAACCAATTGCCACGTCATTAGTCTTGGACTGACTTGTCCCGTGTGCGCAACGGGAAATGTTTCGCTTTCGCAGAAGAAAAATAGGTTTATTTGATTTACACTTATTAATTTGTGCAGTTAATGTCTGGTAAGTTAATGCTCAAGAATAAATATTAATTTTTATTAAAATGTTCTACTATTTTATGTCAACAATTATTCATTTATTTCAGTCCTTTGTATTCAACATGTCTCTATCAAAATAAACCTATGTTTCTATGAAAATTAAAGCTTTTGTTCTTTTGTTTTTTTGTGGCCCAAATAAATGTAAACCTTGTTTATCTGGCCCATGTTTGCCTTTGAGTTTGACATGCATCTAGAACAAACCCTGGAAAACTTCCTAACACTCTGATCACTTCAACACTGCACATTCTTTAATCACTCAACACAGATTTTTCAATAAAGGCCTGTGTTTAAATACATTTTTATTTGTAATTATTTCTCTTTCCTACCCATGTTTTAACCACTCTATCCCAGTTAAAATACACAAACGATTTTGATTCTTTTAGCAATAACAGCACAATAATTTAAAGAATCTGCTGAATGCATTACATCTCCTTTCTCAGTTTAAAACCACATAAAATTATTATGACACTACAGAATTTAAATATTGAATCAAGAATATTTTCTAAAGGCAGATGTTCTTCTTAAAACTTCATAAAATATGGCACAAGTTTGTTAAATGGAAAAGAATTACTGTTACCTCCTCAGCTACTTTCCTCAGTTTGATACTATTAATAATACAGTCACACAGCTATTTCAGAAGGTTTTTTCTCAATCTTAACCCAACTTTATGAACATACTATCCAAACTACTGAATGATTAAATATGAATTAATTAACATCTGGGTAGAAGGATAGCACATTTTATCAAGAAAGAAACCCCAACAGCAAGCAATTTGCTCAATACAACTGTCAAATCAGTTGAGATGAAACCAGAAAGTCCATTTCGCTACCATTTCTTTCAAGTGAAATGTAAAATTATTTAGTGGATATTTTTCAAAAGCCATACACATAAATTTTTTTTATGAGAAAATGGGACCTATGTCTTCTAAAATCAGGTTGTGCCCAGACCATGTGGGTCAATGGTTGGGCATCGACCCATGACCAAAGAATTCACCGTTCTATTCCCAGTCAGGGCACATGCCCAGGTTGGGGACTAGATCCCCAGTAAGAGGCATGTAGGGAGGCAGCGGATGCTTCTCTCTCATCGATGTTTCTATCTCTCTATCCCTCTCTCTTCCTCTCTAAAATAAATAAAAACTTATTAAAAATAATATCATGCGGCCTTTTCCCTCAGAGCTCCTGTTCAAATCTCTTTTTATCCACATTTCACTATTACTTTGTCTAAAATCTTGTAACAGGTGTTAACATCTACCTTAAACAATATTTCCTGACTTTCTCTCAGAAATAATGACATTTTCTTTTGTTTGTATCAGTCTTATAATATTATCTCCCCTAAATACCTATATATGATATTTCATGTCACGAAACCTACCATCTATATTAAGAATTTTCAGCTCTCATTCTAAAATCTTTTCATCCATTCAATAAGAACCCTGAACCATGTTTAGTCAATTCCCAGCTTCCTTCACTTTAAGCAGTTGCCTTCAATCAAAATCATTCTATTTGTCCCTTTTCTACCTAATTTTGTTCTCCCTGTCCCCAATTCTCAGAACCATAAAAGTTATATTATTCTCATATACTCACTCCTTTATTTATGGACTACTCCTTTTTCACCTTTTTAATCACCCCCTTTTTCCCCCTCTTTTTCTTGCAACAAGCTTGCTCCCTTACATTGGTTCTGAAACAGCTTTTATATTCAAAAATAATTCAACAAATACTTCTGAAACACTATGATATTCTAGTATGATGCCAGGAACATCAATGGTCTTTTGCCTTGTTAAGCTTCCAGTTTGGTAAACAAGGCACAAATAATTTGAAAATAACACAATACTCTTTAAGACAAAAGTATGCTCTAGCTGCCAGAGAACCCCTTACTTCAGGAGAACATTCCAGAACAAGCAACTGCTACACCTGAAGGAATGAAGCTGAGGTAAAGTCTAGAGGGGACCCCAGACAGAAGGAACAGCAAATGTAAAGAAAAAGAGATTAAATAGCACTGGGGGTGCAAAGTGAAAGGAGGACAACAGGAGAAAAGGAAGTTAAAGATATAGACAGAGGCCAAAACACAGTGTGTTTTGAACTTGAGCATAAGCAAAGTCTGTCTTAAGTGTATAAAACTTCTCTCACACCTATTATCTGTGTGCTATAGGAGAATTCCAGCTTTGGCTAACCTATAATAAGATAATTTGTGAAGCAAAAATATAAAGATCACCTTGAAAATTTGAAATGAATATATTTTATTAAGAATTAAGTAATATTTAATGCCAATCAATAGCTATAAACATTTATGTGGACGGGTTCTTCCTGATTGCTGTCTAACTTAAAAAAAGTCTATAAATAAAATCAGAAATTCTCTTCAAATACAAGTTAATAATCAAACTTCTCAGGTTCACAATGCATAAAAACAAATACCTACATTTTATAGAAGGTAAATGTTCATATTAAAAAAAAAAAAAAACCTCATTGTTATATAAACATGTTGATATTCTAAAAAAAAGCTTAATATCCCATGCAAAATTTTTCACATGTATATGTGAAAAATATACATATACATGTGTGTGCATATGTGTGTTTATTTTATTACATGGGGATAAATCTTTTCCCAAAAGAAGCTTTATTTGGGGAAAAGCAGGAGTTGAGGTAAAGGAAAGTCTTTTAAATGGTACACCTATCAGTAATCCTACATAATAAAGAGGTAACATGCAAATTGACCACCACTCCAACGCACAAGATGGTCATCCCTATGTGGTCAAAAATGGCCGTCACATGATGGCCACCAGGGAAGGGCAGTTGGGGGAAACCCAGGCCAACAGGGGAGGGCAGTTGGGGGAACCAGGCCTGCAGGGGAGGACAGTTGGGGGTCCAGGCCTGCAGGGAACAGCAGTTAGGGGCACCAGGCCTGCAGGGAACAGCAGTTAGGGGGACCAGGCCTACAGGTAAGGGCAGTTAGGAGTGACCAGGCTGGCAAGGGAGTGAAGTCAGGGGTGACTGGGCTAGCAAGGGAGGGCACTTGGGGCAACCAGGCTAGCAGGGGAGGGCAGTTATGGGCAATCGGGCAAGCAGGGAAGCAGTTAGGGGCAATCAGGCAGAAAGATGAGTGGTTGAGAGCCAGCAGTCCTGGATTGTGAGAGGGATGTCCAACTGCCCATTTAGGCCCGATTCTGACAGGCAGTCAAACATCTCTCTAGCGGTACCAGATTGGATAAGGTGCAGGCTGGGCTGAGGGGAACCCCCTCCCCCGTGCATGAATTTCATGCACCAGGCCTCTAGTCAGAAATAACATTTTATCTTCAAACATAATATTAAGGCCAGTACAACACTTAAATTCCATAAAAGAAATGACTGTTCCCACTTAAAATTCTAGAAAAGTTTGTTTTGTTAATGCGTAACACCCGTAGCTACTCCATTTCAAACAATAATTACTATGTGAAATGCTCAATGAAAGGATAAATAACTTAAATACAATCATTTACTCCTAAACTGGAAAAATATACCCGTATTTTCTGGCGTATAAGACGACCCCCTAATTTTACAGTTAAAACATACATAGGTTTAGGCCTGTATGTGCTGTATAAGACTACCCCCCACTTCAAAGAAAAGACTTACTTTGCCGTCAAGATCTGCAGGTAATTTTTGTGCAATTTTGGTCTTTGCCCCCAATTTTCGGTTGACTTTTTTTCGTTTCAAAAGTCGTCTTGTATGCCAGAAAATACGGTGTATATATAATACTGATATGTATATATGCTCCTTTCACATACACTAAAAAGAACCAAGTTTAAAGAAGCTCTTTTATTGTCCTTCAGCTCTGCTCAAACAAATGAATATATTCCCATGGTGTTTTTCCATTACATCATATTAAATATTAAGAAGAAGTAAACTCACTTGCGTCTGCCTGGCTCCCCACACTGATGTACCGGTCATTGCTGGGAAGCGCGGTTTGGTAGTAAGCTGTCTCTTCCTGCTGAGGGGGCTTGGCATTCTTTGCAGTCAAGAAAGCCACTGCCAATTCCAAGTTTCCATTACTGTCCTTCAAATATCAAGAACACAACATCAAATATTTTGAACTATTTCTATACATCTCATAATTTATGTAATCTTCGTCATAACAACTAATACTAGGTGTACCAATTAATAATGGCGAATTTTATAATCAAAGAAAACACGATAAGAAGAATCAAAAGTGTTTTATTCAAAGTAATGTCCATTGCTAGCTATACATTTTCCCCATCTTTCTGATAATTTGTGGATTCCATCCCAATAGAACTTTTCTTGTTTTGAAGCAAACCATTCAGAGACCCAATCTTCTACTTCTTCGTACATTTTGAAGTGCTGCTCAGAAAGTGCGTGTGCCATCAATCAGAACAAGTGGTAATTTGAAGGAGCGGATGGGTTAATACTTCCCAGGTAAGATTTTTTAACATGTCTTCAACTGGTTTTGAAGTGTGTGATGGTGCGTCAACATGAAGCAAAATTACTTTGCTGTGTCTTCTAGAACATTCTGGTCGTTTCACGATCAAAGTGTGGCTCATACTGATTATTTGTTGTCGGGAGCGATCAGTATTAACAGTTTCACCTGGTTTTAGAAGCTCATAATACACCACACCTTCCTGATCACCCTAAATGCAAAGCATTGTCTTGTTTCCGAAGCAATTTGGCCTGGTTGTTGATGGTTAACCTGGATCAACCTATGATTTTGTGCATTTGGGATTCTCAAAATAAATCCACTTTTCATTGCCAGTCAAAATTCGATGCCAAAAAGACTTTCTTTCATGCCGTTGAAGCAAAATTTTACTGATGACTTTTCGGTTTTCATTTGTCTTTCGTTCAGTTGATGTGGCACCCATTTCCTTCTTTTAAAATTGTTCCCATTGCTTGTAAATGATCGGAAATTGTTTGCTGAGCAATGCTCAGTTTTTCTGCAATTTGTTTTCGAGTTTGACATGCATCTTCATCCAATAATGCTTGTAATTGTTGGTCTTCTAACTTTTTCAGTTGACCTGGACATTCTTTGTCTTTCACATCTAAATCATCACTTTTAAAGTGTTTAAACCAGTGTTCACAAGTATCTTAAGATGGAGTGTGTTCACCATAAGCTTCGTGCAGTTTAAGATAATTTTCAGCAGAACTTTTCTTCAAAATAAAATAATGAATTAAAACTTCCCGCAAATACTCTTTTTGGGGGGCACGAAATTCGACATTTTTAAGCATAAAAATATCTATGATGTTAACACCTCCAGAAAATTTGACATATGAAGTTTTGAAGCTTGCATATATATCAACATATATGTAATTTCATCTATTGAAAAAATCCACATTATTAACCTCTACACCTGGTAGTAGCGAAAACTGGTTTCAGATTTTAAATTACTGATTCTAATTCATTGTAAACAAAATATACTATATCAATTGTAATTCCTGATTCTATTAATTAAAACTACTAATACAATATAAAAATCAATTGTATAACTATTAGTTCCTTAATTTTCTAATACTTTCAGATCTGCTTAACAAAAGTCAATCACAAACTTATATTTCTAAACTAATGAACAAACTAAACCATATTTTCTGGAGCTTGCTCTATAAAAGTGTAAAAAATGAGTGTTTATAATAGTACTTCTGGGAAGAATTAGGGAGAACCAAGATGGCAGCCTAGGTAAGTGCCTAAGCTGCCACCTTGCACAACAATTTCAAAATAACAACTAAAAGACAGAATGGACATCATCCAAAACCACAGGAAAGCTGGCTGAGCAAGAAATCTACAACTAGAAAGAAGGAGAGAGGCTCACAGATCGGATCAGGAGCCACAAAGCGCTGAGGTCGGGAGATGCTCGCACAGAGAGGAAGGGCGGCGGAATGCGGGCTGGTGGGAGGGGAAAGGAAGCCCCCAACTCCACTGAACCCCAGTTTCAACTGCACTGAACCCGAGCTCCGGCCGAAACTCCGTGGACCCTGGCACGTACGGGTGGAGTCTGGACTGTAGATAAAGGCACCCGGAGAGACAGAGACTGGGAGACCAGGGGAGCCAGAGCTGCAACATGCGAATGAGTGCGGGCAGAGAGGTCTGACACTAAGGTTGCTGCAGCCTCTCCATAGAGGAAGGAGTCCAAAGCTCCTAACTGCACTGAATCCCCAGTTTCACCTGCACTGAGCACTGAAACCCAGTTCAGGGCAAGGCCCTGGGACACTCACGCTCTTACAAGGGGAATCTGGACTGTCAGGCGGAAACTCAGGGGATCCGTGAAAGGCAGAAGTCTGAGACACACACAAGAGCAGGACTGACGGGAAGCCCAGACTGGCAGCTCAGCCCTGAGACTCTGCCCCATCCAAGCTGAGCTTAGAGGCTTTTGCAAGTTTGCAAGTCTGATCCTTTAAGACTGTCTCCAATACAGAAGATATTCTGGTGTAGACACAGGTGATACATCCAATAACCCTGGAAATCAACTCCTCCCAGTGATACCAACAACAATCAAGACTTAACTACAACAAGGCTGTATATGCAGTCCACAAAGAGGAGCACCAAGAATGTCTACCTCAGGTAACTGGGGAGGCTGACCCACCAGCCAATATAGGACACCAAGCACACAAAGCCACCCTACCAACTCAGGGAAGCAGCAAAAATGCTGAGACAGGGAAAGAGATCTCAAACAAAAGAAATGGAGGAGAACAAAAGATTGGATATAGAGTTCAAAATCACGGTTATAAGGTTTTTCAAGAATTTCCTAGAAAAGGCCAATATATTTAATGAGACTCTTGAGGAGATGAAAAAGGACCAACTAGAAATTAAACATACACTGAATGAAATAAAAAATATTATATAGAGACCCAAGAGCAGACTAGAGGAATGCAAGAGTCAAGTCAAAGATTTGGAACACAAAGAGGCAAAGGACACTTCTCTGGTAAAGCAAGAAGAGAAGGGAATCCAGAAAATTGAAGATAGTGTTAGAAGCTTCGAGGACAACTTCAAACGTACCAACATCAAAATTATGGAGGTGCCAGAAGAAGAGAAAGAGCAAGATACTGAAAACCTATTTGAAGAAATAATGTCAGAAAACTTCTTCCACCTGGTGAAAGAAATACTTACAAGTACAGGAAGCGCAAAGAACCCTAAACAAAAGAAATACAAAAAGGACCACACCAAGACACATCATAATTAAAATTCCAAGAGCAAAAGACAAAGAGAGAATCTTACAAGCAGCAAGAAAAAAAGTTAGTTACCTACAAGGGAGCACCCATAAGACTATCAGCTGATTTTTCAACAGAAACTATGCAGGCATGACGGGAGTAGCAAGCAATATTCAAAGTAATGAATAGCAAAGTGAAAAAACAAGATTACTCTACCCAGCAAAGTTATCCTTCAGAATTGAAGGACAGATAAAGAGCTTCACATATAAGAAAAAGCTAAAGGAGTTCATCACCACCAAACCAGTATTATATGAAATGCTAAAAGGTATTCTTTAAGAAGAGGAAGAAGAAAAAGGTAAAGATAAAAATTATGATCAGCAAATACACATATATATCAACAAGTGAATCTAAAAATCAAGTGAATTAAAAATCTGAGGAACAGAATAAACTGGTGAATAGAATAGAATCAGGGGCAAAGAAAGGGAGTGGATTGATAATTATCAGGGGGAAAGGGATGTGGAAGGTGCAGGAAGAGACTGGACTAAAATTGTACACCTATGGATGAGGACAATTGGGGGGGGAGGGGTAAGGGCAAGAGGGTGGGTTGGGAACCGGGTGAAAGGGAGCTATAGGGGAAAAAGGAGAAACAATTGTAATAACCTGAGCAATAAAGATTTACTTAATAAAAATAATAATAGTACTTCTGTAAACAAGGACAATAAAAGATGTTCCCTTTAATATTGATGCTGAATCCATGCCTATAGGCAAACTTAAGCAAATGTCAAAGACTTGTAGAAAGAAAATAGTAAAACATTCTGCAGCTTGATAATATGAAGACACTCAGAACTCCTAGACAGAAATGCTCAATGATAAGATGATGATCGCAACCAAACTATACATACTAATAAAGTTTACGTAATTCTCATCAAAAGCATACCTAGACACAACGTTTTTTTCTACAGTTAATTAGAAGGGGGGGGGAAAGCCAATGCTAGGAAACTAAGAATTACTAAAACAACAAAAGAATGACTTGCTCAGTTTTATCTCTATATTCTCTGTACACTTAATACATGTAACAGTAGTTCTATGGCAGCTAATTCAAACAGCATTAAGAAATCCAGATGTTAATAATGAATTATCTTTATAACAGAAAACCAGAGCATGCAAGCTTGCAGGCCTTAGGAACTTTCCCACACATGAATGTAACAGGGAGCCAGTGGAGTGATTTAGACAGAAATGACTTGGTATGGTTTCACATTTAAAGGACCGTTCTACAGTTTGTTGAAAATAGATTATTGGACAGAAAAGGCAGCAGCAGAGCCCAATATCATTTTCTATCATATTAAATATGGAGGGGGCGGGTGACAGAAAGAAAAAGATCAGGATGATTCTAAGGACCTGAGGCCTGAGCTATGTATGGAAGAATGAAATCCCCAATGCACTCCACTCCAATTCTAGTAGCAAGTGAAGAGAGAGAAAGTCAGGTGCAGTTTGAAAAGCACCACTGCTTTAAACTTTATCTGTCACAATTATTATATGATTCTTTAATAAATGATTCATCCAAAATGTGGGTGTAACATATTTTATAGTTGGCTAAGTAAACTAGTTGTAAAATAATTTGCAATAATAATGGCTAATATTTATTAAAAAGGTGCTAAGTGCATTTCATACACTATCTTGAACAATAACAAACTGCAACCAGGATTTACACAACTTAAAGTTTGGAGGGCTAAAGATAGATATTCAAAATAAAATAAAAGTTCTGAAATCAATCAATAACATTGTGGCTCCCAACAGTAAACTACCTGTCAATTTATAACTGCGAGAGTTGAGATATTATTAAACATCTTACAAATTTATACTGGGCTATAGTTAAAGTTTAAACACAGTGTCTCCACCAACCCCCATGCCAGCTACTATTACCAAAATCAAAAGTTTAAAACAAAAACAACTACACACAACTTACCTCAGAGAAAACGTGGACAAGAATTTAATTAATTATTATTTAATTAAACATATTCTACATATTTCCCAAATTAAAAAAGAAAATTTCCTAGATTTGCCCTGGCAATATAATGGTGTATACTCCCACTCAGTGGTACAGAATGGGAAAGACACTGTATGAAAATACACATGGGGTGATTTGGTTATGTTATCAGAATAAAGAAAAACTGGCAATCATCCAAATGTCATAATTATAAAAACTGAGTACAACACTTTGGCTTTGTGTCCAAATACACACATTGGTTTCATAACCCATGCATTAAGGCTTTAAACAGTTCTGTCTCATCGTTTTTCTAATGGGAAAAAGCTGAAGCAAAACTTCTAGTAAAAGCAGAAGTTCAGTGTGGAACAATAGGCTCCTTGGTTCCTATTCTAAGCTTCTCTACGTATTAGCTGTGTGGTTTTAAGCAAGTCACATTAATCTCTACCTCCTTATCTTTTAAGAGGGAATGAAAATAATATCTACCTCATAGAGCTATTAGAGCAACGTTTCTCAACTGTTAATGAATCGAACAGAGCCTAAGACCATTGGGAAACACAGATATTTACATTATGATTCATTAACAGTAGCAAAATTACAGTTATGAAGTAGCAAGGAAAATAATTTTATGGTTGGGGGTCACCACAACATGAGGAACTGTATTAAAGGGTCACGGCATTGGAAATGTTGAGAAACACTGTATCAGAAGGATGTTATCCACATGAACTATTTAGAATAGCAGCTAGTTCTGTAAGTGCCTAACAAGTGCTATGATCACTATCATTATGATGTTTATAATTACACTCATCTAAATGATAAATCATTTCTAGAAACAAATGAAGAATTTGGGGCTCAAAATAAAAAATTACATAATTTTGCCTCATGGAGCAACTTCCAAAGGATTGAAGTTGTATGGAGGCCTACAGTGGCACAAACGCTGTAAATTTGAAATGCAGTTCTACAGACTGTCAAACTACAGCAGGAAGGCAGAGGAGGTGTGGGGAGGGGAGTGATGTAAGAGATCAACCGAAGGACCTGTACGCATGCATATAAGCATAACCAATGGATATAAGACACTGGGGGAGGAGGGGCAGGTGAGGGCATGTACTAGGGGATAGGGGAGGCCAGGGGGAGGTCAATGGGGGAAAAAAGAAGACATATGTACTACTATTTGTAATACTTCAAACAATAAAAATAAATAAAATGCAGTTCTAATTCTTAAACATCTATCCTTCACCTGATCTTTTTTTTTTTTTTCATGTTTTATTGATATTAGAGAGAGCAACATTGTTTAGTTGCCTCCTGCTCGCCCCCTACTAAGTATCCAGCCCGCAACCCAGACATGTGCCTTGACATGAAATCCAACCAGCCACCTCTGGTTCATGGGTTGGTGCTCAACTACTGAGGCACTCCCGCTAGGCCACTTGATCTTTTCAATGCACGTATCCATGTGATCTGACTCATCTGGTGCCCCATGCACTTTATTTGTTGCATATACTAAACAGTTTTGATATTGAATATTCATAATATTGCCTTGGAAGGAAAAGTAAGCTTTTGATGCTCAATTAACTTTCTACTCTTCTCTCCTCCTCTTTCTCTAACCTAATCCACTCTCCACCCCATTTAAACTCTAACGCATGGCTCTTGAGTAAAACCAGGCATCTGCATCTGGATTCATCTTAGTTTTGCTATGAAAGTGTTTCTTACAGAAAGTTATCTGTCACTTCATGACATCTTGTAACATTAGGCTGCTGAAGCTAACATGCTCAAAACATGCTCAGTATGTTAAGTCTCTTATTTTATAAAAGTTCTTTCTTATATCCTGGCATAACAAAAAACTCAACTTTCAAACATGGCAGGCAGTAGGACTAAAGGGATTAACATGAACTATATCATAAACAGAGGTCATACCTTCAAGGCTTGCTGTAGTATCTGGGTGTCATTAATCCCAGTGATTTCTCTCAGCTGATTCAAAAACGTCTGTTGATGCTAAAGGAGGGGGGAAAACCAAAATTATTATACTCTGAAATATGAAAATATAAATGACTTTGTGGGGGAAGAGGGGGATGATGGAAAATGCAAAATAAAGTAGAATAAAAAAGAACTTGAGACTGAACAAATTTCACTCTTTTAGAAAGAATGAACCATGCTATGGGGAGGACCATTATCCATTCTCATGGTTCCACCAAAAGGGAATTTTTACCTTACTCCCCCAAAATAAGAGTGCTTGAATTAAGTTTCTAGCTAGTCTTCACCACCTCTCCATTTATGTCTCCCAAAATAAAAAGAGTGATCTGCATGATGGATAAACCCAGGAACAACTAAGGAAAATGTACCCACTGGGCCCTACTGACTGAAGTCAGACAGTTCTGGGAATTCCTCCCTGCTTGTTGGGTCAGCCAGCATCCAGGCACCTGGAATGTCTGAAAAAGACATGCTTTGACAGGCCATGTACTATGTAGGTATAGTACATCATGGGAATCCTAAGATCTATTTGAGGAAAAAAGAGAATCATCTCATTCTCCAATCTATCATAAAAGATCCTAAATAGAATTCATCTTTTGCTCCCATTTGCTTCAAACCTGTTCATGTGCTATTGGTCTATACTGTAATGATACTCTATATAATTAAGAGTAAGAGAAAAGGGGGGAGATGGATAGGATCCCACTATCAAATCCTTCCCTGAACTATCCTAATTAAGGGCTATGTTCCTCCCTACAACTCTGTATTTCTTAAAAGAAGTCCCCAAGACAGCACCATGAATAAAAGGATCTGATAAAATCTTTCTTGAAAAATATTTTACATTCATCTCAATAATCCTGTCAAGAATTATCAATGCGAGCTAAAACTATTGGGTGAAAGCTTAATGAGGAACAGGACAGTAGCATAGTTTTAAGCTTCTTCCTAGGAATATTAACTATAAAGAAGAAATCTAACAGAAATCACCTGAATCAAATGATCAAAGTTAATATTACCCCTAATAGGGTAAAATGATATTGTGTGCCTCCTGATATATAATATGCTACACCAAGAAGACAATACCACCTGTGATATTCCTGCCACAAAATAAACAAGTTGAATCTAATCTTGAGGAAACATCAGACAAATCCAAACTGAGAGACATTTATCTTCACACAGAAAGACAAAGGGTGAGGTTCCAGATTAAAGGAGGACTAAAAAGGCATGACCACCAAACATAAAGTGACATCAAATTGCTTCTCATGCTAAATTTTACAGCATATTATTGGGACAACCAGAGAAATAGGAACATGGACTGCTTAGTAACAATGTTGTATTAATATTAAATTTCTGAACTTGATAACTGTACCAAATATATTTTTTCTCAGGAAACAGATTCTGAAGTGGTAAACTAGTAAAGGAACATGCAACTTACTCTCAAATAGTTAAAAAAAAAAAAAAAAAAAAGCAATGAAAGTTTTTCATACTCAACTTTATATTTAAAGTTACTTCAAAATAAGTTTTTTTAAATGCTCTGCATGTAGATTTATTGACTCCAGTATTGGAAAATGCACATTTCATGCTTGATAATTTAAGTATGCATAATGTATATACATTCAGATGAAGAGTCCTAAATAAATGTCAAAATTAAACAAAAAAATAAAAGCAATTTTAAAGTTTCAGATAACCTAGACTAAATATGTTTTACGGAAACCACAAATATAAGTCCACAATTATATTTATCTATTTTAACAGAGTCCCATTTAAATAGTTGCTTCCACACACTGAAATGTCTCTTTTTCATAATGCAGGTAGACTGGAGGAGAGCAGTCCAAATCTGCAAAGTATATCGCATGGGATGTCAAAGATCTAAACTCCTCCTGTCTTCCCACTAAACATTCTTTTATGTGACATTCATCAAATGTCGGTTACTCCACGTCTCCTCTCTCAGCATTCTGTACAAGTTTTAGGAGTATGAAGAAAAGAGCAAAGGATAAAAGGTGCCTATGAAATGATTCTGCCTTCTTTTTTTATTTTTTTTTAATATATTTTATTGATTTTGTACAGGGAGGAAGGGAGAGAGATAGAGAGTTAGAAACATCGATGAGAGAGAGTCATCGATCAGCTGCCTCTTGCACACCCCCGACTGGGGATATGCCCGCAACCAAGGTACATGCCCTTGACCGGAATCGAACCCGGGACCCTTCAGTCCCCAAGCCGATGCTCTATCCATTGAGCCAAACCGGTCTTGGCTGATTCTGCCTTCTTTAACAAACCTGATTTCCTCAAATAACTTCCACTTAAAAGTCTTATTTATCATTCAGTCACATGGCCAATCATAGTTGTACAGGAGGATGGGAAATATACTTTTCAGCGAGGCAAAATGGTGCTCTAAAAACAGTGTTCTGTTTATAAGAAAAAAAGAAAAGAATGCATATTGTATCTGCTGTATATACAGTATCTATCAAGCCATCAATTAATTTTCATAGCTATAAAATTCCTAAAGAGCTAAAATAACCAAGGATATCCAACAATACATACACAATAAAGCACATAAACAACCTTATATCAAATGCCATGAAGAATCAAAATTGCTGAAGAATCGAAATGCCAGATTAATAAAGCTAAAATATGAGAAATAAAAGTTCTCCTTAAACCTATCAACTTTTCCACTTTAATTTAAAAAATGTTCCCGAATAGCAATTCCACAGCCCAACATTACAATTAAAGATGTATAGAAATATTACCGAAATTCTCTTTATCTAACTCAATGTTTTATTTTAATAAGCATGGAATACTTAAAAGATTTTATAGCCCTATTTGTAATCTCACCATCACTAGCACTCTAAACTCCATTCATTAATCCAAGTATTATTTTCCTCAACTGCAAATTAATCAATCATGGATCAGGAAAAGACTATTGAATAAGCACCCCCAAAATTAGTCATCTGTACAAATGTTGCTGGCTTTTACATATTACGCTGGAAAAACAGAAACAGTGCAAAGGTCCACTAAGGAAGAAAGTCTAAACTTCAATAAAAGACCTGGTAACAGATCCTGAAGTGGTAAACTAGTAAAGGAACATGCAACTAGCCAGCAGTCCTAGATTGTAAGTTTAACAATGAAGATTCCCAGGCCCCACCCCCCAGAGACTATGTTAATAAGCATCTCAAATGATTTTTATATAGATGGACTTAGAAGTACAGTCTGAGTTAAGCAAACAACTGTACATTGCAAAATCACATCAAGCTAAAGTGATGAAACTCAAATAGTATATATACACACATTGACTTCAAGGTAAAACACAAACACAAATATAAAGCCCAAAAAAGATTACAATGACCAAAGCTAGACTTCCAAGACTTCTCCCATCTCTGTATCCACCACACCATCTGCCATTTTCCACTTCCACACCTAGAGACAGGCTATATTTCCTTGTTGCACTGAGGCTGGGCTTGCCATATGGCATGCTTTGACCAATGACATATTAGCAGAGAGCATGAGAACAGACTTAAAATGTGCTTGCAGGGTTGAACTTGTCCTCTTGAACTTTTGCAGCTTCCTCAGAAGAACATGACCTGAGTAGCCCAGTTACCCCAGAAGAATAAGGTACACATGGAGAAGAGGAATACAAACAATCTACAAATCTGTGAATGTCCTATATAATAAAGAGGTAATATGCAAATTGGCCCTCACTCCAACACACAAGATGGCCACCCCATGTGGTCAAAGATGTCTGCCCCCCAGTAGACACAAGATGGCTGCCACAAGATGGCTGGAAGGGGCCGGCAGTTAGGGGCAACCAGGCTAGCAAGGGAAGACAGGAGTGACCATGCCTGCAGGGGAGGGTAGTTAGGGGTGACCAGACAGACCAGCAGGGGAGGGCAGTTAGGGGCGATCGAGCCGTCAGGGGAGCAGTTAGGGGGTGATCAGGCTGGCAGGCAGAAGTGGTTAAGGGCAATCAGGTAGGCAGGCAGGCAAGTGGTTTGGAGCCAGCAGTCCTAGATTGTGAGAAGGATGTCCAACTTCCCCATTGGATCGGGCCTAAACGGGCAGTCAGATATCCCTCAAAGGGTCCCTGATTGGAGAGGGTGCAGACTGGGCTAAGGGACACCCTCTCCCCACCCCAACCCCTGTGCACAAATTTCATGCACCAGGCCTCTAGTAATAGTAATATTTTGGTATGCCACTAACTTTTAGAGTAGCTGTTGTGACAGTTGACAGTTGACTGATACAGAGTACAATAAGAATACTGAGTATTTTATAAGAAAAGCAACATTTTCAAAATGTTGTTATGATTTGGTGTTTTGTTCATCTTTCACAATAAACCCAGCTAAGTATTCTAAAAAAAAAAAAAAAAAAAAAAAAAAAAAAAAAAAAAAAAAAAAAAAATTGTCCAGGTATAGCTCTAGCATGGTTCTTGATCTCATGAATTTTGACTGAAAATGAAACAAAAAGAAAAGCACTGGGTAGAGAAGAAAGCTAAGTGGGAAAAAGAAAAGCTTAGCTAAGTTAACAAGACATGGGATACAGATGAAAAGAGGTGAGCTATGAGAAGAATTCTAAATTGATGGTATAGAAGCCACCTCATTTGTAAAGATTTCCCTGTTGTTATGGGCATAGCCCATTTGTGCTTCTGTCTTTGAAAACCTGCACCTTTATTTCCTGCAATTATATGTTTTTATCGCTGCTATTTCTGTTGCTATTAAGACCCTGGTATTTCTTTCAAGGTTTGCACCTTTTTTATTTACCAATCTTCAGGTCTTTGATACACCTGATCCTCAACGAAAAATGCCGTTCATATAGTTTCTCCTTCTTGACTAGTAATTTGGATCCAAGGAAGATCCAACCACTTCCACTTCTAGAGCTCGCTTTCTAAGCTCCAAGGTCTTCCTTGTATGAATTTATTATTCTATATAATAAAAAGCTAATATGCAAGTTGACCATTACAGAAGATGACCGCCCCAATATGGTCACAAGATGGCCGGCAGGGGAGGGAGTTGTGGGCAATCAGGCCAGCAAGGGAGGGC